AAATAAACACAGAGAGAGGATGAGGGGCACTAACTATCCTTTTCCATCTCCCCCTGCAGAGATGGGAAGGGCTCAAAGCAATGGAGAGATGAGGGAAGAACCAGGCTGAAGGACTCTGGTGACAAGGGTAGCATTGGTAGCAGTAGGAGAAAAACCTCATGCTAAGCTTGAGATAGCTTGGTGCAGCCACTGGTTGAATTTTTCTTTATGTATTACACAGTTTTGGTTGATTTCCATTCATCCTCTGTACAATTTTTTTTGATTGTTTTTATTCTTTTTAGATACATTGTATTAAAGAGAAAATATAAGCATAAATATTTAGGTTTAGAAATTACTAGGCTTTTTATTTTTAAAAAGAGAATAAACTGAAGGCACAGCAAAAATATATATTTAGATATAAGTAAACTATCACAGAACTTACAGTAAGTATTTATTTTCACCATATTATGTGAAAAAAGGAAGTGTTTCCAGAAGAAAAATGATCCCAGGAGGAAAGTGTCAAATGTTTTCATCAATAGCCCAAATCTATGGAGAAATAATGCTCTTGTCTTGGAAAAATTAAACTTTGAATTCCCAGAGTTAAGAAAAAAACCATAAATAATTTCATTTTCCCCAATACATTTAAAAGCTCGTAAATGTTCATTGGCTGAATGAAAATGCAAAACAGAATGAAAAATAAAGTGCAAATGTGCTTTGAAATAGTAGCATCAAAGACTGAAGGGGAAAAAATGGCTCCTTTCCTTTTGGCTCTCCTCCCCATACATTTTCATTTGTCATACTGAAATAAATAAGAGGCAAGGGTTTCTTTCTCCCACAGTACTGTTTGTGGTTAAGGAAACAATAAAGGATATTGTTACAAATAGGTAGGCAATATAATGAGAAAAAGAAGTGGCCTGTGGTCACAGTTGCAGCTGTGCAGCAAGACACAAAGTTTTCAAGGGTGTAAGGAAGGAGCTAGGAATACCCATTAAAGTATAAAGAGGTTTTTGACTGCTGTGTACAATAAGATTATTTGGAACATATTAGCTACCTCTAAACTTAAAGTTCTGGCCCTGGTCTTTAAAATTTATGAGCAATTTTTTTATTTACCTGTTCTGGAGAGCTTTTACTTTAGCATGTTTCTCTTCTCTGCATATTTTTTTAATCCTTTACAGAAACTATGCATTTTATCCAAACAGATTGGCTGAGAAAGCATGAAAATGTGACCTTTGTACAGACCTGGCCAACACAGAATGTGGTAGAATATGTACCAGTACAGGAAGTGCTATAGTTTGAACCGGATAGAGCTCCTAAATCTATGCTGATAGTTAAATCCCAAAATCATAAATTGACGACACTAAAAGTGTGGAAACTTAATCCAATCATGGTGTCTAGGAGGTGGGTCTGGTAGGAGGTCCTTGAGTCACTAGGGGTGTGCTCTGGGCAGGTAGTTCTTGTAATAGGGTTGGGTATTTAAAAAGCTAAGTTGAGTCTAAACAGTATCTCTACTTCCAGGATTACCACGTGGTCCTTTTTCTGTACACACATCACCATTGCCATTCTCTAGCCTCATCAGCTGGATAGACCATTGGGACCTGCCCAATCTTGGACTGTGAACTTCAAAAATGGTGGGCCAAAATAAAGCTGCTTCTTTTATAAGCAACTTGTTATAGGAATTTACTTATGGTGATGAAAAGCCTAGCAAAGAAGGCTAGTACAGTGGCTTTCCTTATAACTCCTGAAAGAAACTACAGAATTAACATCTGGGATTAAGGGATTTAAGTCATGATCATGGGAACCATTTAAAATATACCCAATTCAGAGCTGTAGTCATGATATTAGTTGATTGTGTAGTGTTCTAAAACCAGGAAATGAGTAGTGTTAAGTATAGCCTTGTTAGGAAACACCATTGCAACAGTAAATGAACACCCATGATATCATTGTGAGAGTCTCAGAAGATATAATCACCTCCTGAGTTGTGGTTAAATGCATATTTCTTTAAAAAAAGTTTATTTATCTATTTGAAAGTCAGAGTTACAGAGAGAGAGAGAAGGAAAGAAAGAGACAGAGAAATCTTCTACCCACTGGTTCACTATCCAGGTGACAGCAATCAATGGTCAGGGCTGGGCCAGGCCAAAGCCAAAAGCCAAGCATTTCATCAGGTCTTCCACATGGGTGGTAGGAGCCCAGACATTTGGCCCATCTTCCTCTGCTTTTCCCAGGCCATTCAGCAGGGAGCTGAATTGGAAGTGGAACAGCTAGGACACAAACCAGTTCCCAAATGGGATATTAGCATCTCAGGCCAGGGATCTATCTGCTACACCACAAAGCTGGCCTCTTAAGGAATACATCTTCCTTAAGAAAGCCCATAAGAGCATTTCAGGCATGGAAAGTCAAGACACTGTGGCAAAAAAATGACCTACACGAAAGATCTCTGTGAGTGAGATCCCCGTGGAAAGAAGGGGCCATCAAAAAAGGAGGTACCTTTCTCTGAAGGGAGGAGAGAACCTCCACTTTTTTTTAAAAGATTTATTTATTTTACTTAAAGTCACAGTTACACAGAGAAAAAAGGAGAGGGAGGGAGGAAGAGAGAGAGAGAGAGTCTTCCATCCAGTGTTTCACTCCCCAATTGGCTACAACAGCCAGAGCTGTGCTGATCCAAAGCCAGGAGCCAGGAGCCTCCTCTGGGTCTCCCACGTGCATGCAAGGGCCCAAGGACTTGGGCCATTCTCCACTGCTTTCCCAGACCACAGCAGAGAGTTGTATCGGAAGTGGAGCAGCCGGGTCTTGAACTGATGCCCATATGGGATGCTGGCACTGCAGGCAGCAGCCCTACCTGCTACATTGCAACAGCGGCCCCAGAGAACTTCCACTTTGATTATGACCCTGTCTAAATAATGTCGGAGTTTGTGGACTCAAGAGGCTTCCATAGCCCTGGCAGCTCATGACAAGAGCCTTGGGGGATCATTGATGTCATAAATAAGAGTATCAATTGAGCACAACTGAGCTAGCTAGCAGCGAGTGGAGATTAGAAGCCTCAGCTCAGCACCCAGGTCCTTAGAATCCAAGTCCCCAGTGCTCATGCCCTTGACAAGCTGGCCCAACATAATTAAGGTATAGCTGAATGTCAGGGGTCAGTTTTATTTATTTACCTTTAGAAAGCTTTTATTTAATAAATATAGATTTCATAGGTACAGCTTTTGGAACATAGTGGTTCTTTCCCCTATACCTGCCCTCCCAGCCCTACTCCCTCTACCATCCCATTCTTCATTAAGATTCATTTTTAATTATCTTTATATACAGAAGATCAACTCTATACTAAGTAAAGATTTCAATAGTTTACACCCACACAGACACACAAAGTATAAAGTATTGTTTGAAGACTAGTTTTACCATTAATTCTCATAGTACAACTCATTAAGGACAGAGGTCCAACATGGAGAGCAAGTGCACAGTGACTCCTATTGTTGATTTAACAGTTGACACTCTTAGTTATGATGTCAGTGATCACCCGGGGCTCTTGTCATGAACTATCAAGGCTATGGCAGCCTTTTGAGTTCACAAAGTCCATCATTATTTAGACAGGACCATGAGCAAAGTGGGGTGTCAGTTTTACACCATCACTCCAGACACCCTGAGAAAACTCCCAGACCTAAAGCTGACAGATGTTCTCTGGTTCAGTTTATGCCTGCAGGGATGTGAAGGGTTGCTTATTCATTGATCAACGTGGTATCTATTTTGGATCCATCCTGGTCTACCTGAAGTGGACAGCTGTCCACATAACACATCCCGAGGTGTACTCTGAGGGTCAGTTCTATGAGATCAAGCCTTTGGTCAAGCCCCTGGAAGACACACCACAGATCTTTTGTGAACAGGTGGCTCGGAGGTAGTTTCTGCTACAACTGCCTAGCTACAGCGAGAATCTGGAGCTCCTGATTCTCCTGACACGTGCAAGGGCTGTGCTGCAGCATCATTCGATCGTAACCATGTATGTGACATCCTCTACACAGCATTTTGCAAAGTGGTCGGAGCCCCCATATACTCTGGAGGTGAACAGTATTGTTGTGATTGTACCTGGGATGCTGGAAAAGTGTGTGTGTGACCTCATGGATTGCATGCAGATGGTCCTTCAGGACCAGTAGTACTAAGTGTGCTATAGGGGCTCTCCATTTTCACACTTGGGCTGGCGCCGTGGCTCACTTGGCTAATCCTCCGCCTGTGGCGCCAGCACCCCGGGTTCTAGTCCCAGTTGGGGTACCGGGTACTAGTCCTGGTTTTTCCTCTTCCAGTCCAGCTCTCTGCTGTGGCCCAGGAGGGCAGTGAAGGATGGCCCAAGTGCTTGGGTCCCTGCACCCGCATGGGAGACCGGGAGGAAGTACCCAGCTCCTGGCTTCGGAGGATCGGTGCAGCGCCAGCCGTAGTGGCCATTAGGGGAGTGAACCAACGGAAGGAAGACCTTGCTCTCTGTCTCCCTCCCACTGTCTATAACTCGCTCTCTCTCTCTCTCTCACTGTCTAACTCTGACAGGAAGAAAGGAAGAAAGGAAGAAAGGAAGAAAGGAAGAAAGGAAGAAAGGAAGAAAGGAAGAAAGGAAGAAAGAAAGAAAGAAAGAAAGAAAGAAAGAAAGAAAGAAAGAAAGAAAGAAAGAATTCACACTTGGCCATTTCACACTTCACCACTTCACTACCTGCCTCTTCAGCCATTGCCTTAGGTGTGATTGCTCCTTTAAATCCACCTTCACAAGGTGGTGATTCCCCGGGCCAGGGCCGTTATGGGTTTTGGTGAGGCTTATGAAATTAAAACTTGCATTAAGAAAAAAAAAGAGCACAACCTAGAATGAGTGCCAGTATTTTGGCATTGATAGGAGCTGTGACACTGGAGGAATAAGTTAATCTCCATGTACTTTGCTTACTTATTTATAAAAGAAACTAACAATGGTACTGATATCATAAGCTTGTTTTAAGGATTAAACAAATGAATACAGAGTTTTAATAACTTTTTATTTTGGAATAATTCTAGGTATACACAAAAGTTGCAAAAAGGGTACAGAAACCAACATTGCAATTAACTTCAGACTTTATTCACATTTCACCAGTGTCTCAACTAGTGCCCCTTCTTTATTCCAAGACTCAATCCAAGATAATGCATTGCACTTAGGAACACACATAGTTGGTTTTCAAAACATTCAGAACAGTGTCTGGCACACAACAAGTACCTGCTAAATATCATTTAATCCTGTTAGACAATTTTCATATAGGTAAAACAGAATGTCTCTAACACTGTTATGTATTAATAAGACTTTGCTCCAAATCACTTACACTCACTCTATTGAAAAAAATAACTAATACAAAATAAAGGACAGTTTGGTTTGCAATAAGGTCAACTATAGGTCAATTGCTCTCAAGGAAAGGAATTTACCTCTGGTATGTCTTGCACAGGCGAGAAAAACTAACCAAGTCACATTCAACTCCATTAATTGATTCATTCACTTAACAAAAATTTTTTGAGTGCCTATACTATATGAGGTAGGGTGCCACAGGGACAGACAAATCAAATCTAGCCCTGTTTTCATAGGAAATTTACATTTTTCCATCATCTTATTTAGGTATTTGCTGTGGAATCTGATTCATCCCACCATGAAGTGGAAAGGCATTGAATCTAAACACAACTTGGAATGTTACTCAGAAGTGGCAAATGGAAGAGAGGGAAACAGGCACAGCACACTTTGGCTCCTGTTGCCCAGATATGCACAATCCAAGGAGGCCCTGGATGAAGATAAGGTGCAAGGAAAACCTGTGCCTGGCTGCAGATGTGGAAATTCCAACCACTCTGGGGGTGCCTCCTGAAGGAAGCAATCTTTTTCATGAGTATTAATAATGCTAGCTAAATGCTATCAGGTGCTTGTGCTGTGGCAGGCACTTTTGTATAGTTTACATGCATTGATGCAAGTAAATCCCACAACCACTGTATGAAGTAGATAATATTATCTTTTAATTCATATGTGAGAAAATCAGCCAAAGTGATCCAATAAAAAATGAAGGAAGACCAAAAACGTGGTTTTATATTTTTACAGCTTTCTGAATAACAAAGCAGAAATTGTCCCTGGGCATAAATAGTAAAATCAGTTTTATTTTCTTTCTATCAAGAAAAATGGAAATGAACCATTTTGACTTCTGGATTCTGAAAACTAATGCTCTTTAGAACTTAAATTGTGGGATATTTTCTAAGATGTCTCATATACGCAAGCTCATGTCTAAATATGCAAGTAATAAATGTGTCTTCTTGTCACAACACAGTAAAACCGGTAGTGATTAAATGATCTACTTCTACCCTTGCTCCTATGTGTGCTACATCAAACACAAATGTGAGTAAGCATTCCCTTCCCTCAGAGATCTTCTGCTATAGCTATAGGCCCACTTCCTTTTATTTCACTCATGAGTAACTCCAAAAAGTGCAGAATGGAAAGGAACAGGTCTCTATGTAGCTAAAGTGCAAAGTGGAACAAGGTGGGTATCATTAAAGGGATAAAAACCAATGCCACGGAAAGAAAAAAAGATAAAAGAAACAGAAGGAATTGCATCTGGTTAGGGGAGGAAGGAGGGTTTCATGCAAGATTGCAGCATTTGAAGACTAGGTGGTATTTTAACAAGTTGAACAGATGATAGGGTAGGAAATTCTTCATGAAAGGAATAGCACTGATAAAGAAAAAAATGTTAGGACATCACAGTTTGTCCTAGGAATACCAACCACTTCAGTTTGTCAGAAGTATAGCAGGCCAATATTTGGATGTACGTGAATGCCAGGATGAGGATTTTACTTACTTTTTTAAAGATTTATTTATTTATTTATTTATTTATTTGAAAGGCAGGGTTACAGAGAGAGAGAGAGAAAGATCTTCCATCCACTGGTTCGCTCTCCAGATGGCTACAACCTTCAGGGTTGGGCCATACAGAAACCAGGAGCCAGGAGCTTCATCCAGGTCTCCCACCTTGGTGGCAGGGGCCCAAGCACTCAAGCCATTCTCTGCTGCTTTCCAAGATGGCATTAGCAGGGAACTGGATCAGAAATGGAGCAGCTGGCACTCAAACTTGTGCTCATATGGGATGTCTGCATCACAGGCAGAAGGTTAAGCCACTGTGCCACAATGTAAGCCCAGATTTGTACTTTATACAGCAGAAAATAACAAACTCTTAAGGATTTGCGGGGAGAGAATTGATATAAGGTAAACTACATTTTAGGAAGATTGACTTGTTGGTGTATAGGGTAGATTTCAGAGTGGGGAGAGTCAGGAGGAAAGGATGTCATCTAAATGTTATCACACTATCTAAGAGAAAAATAACTTCCTAAACCAAGGGTGAAAAAGAGGAAACTAGCAAAACGCAGTGACTGACTTGGGAACTAGAAGAAAATAACAGAGAACTGAGATGTTTACGGAGACTGACTGAGAGAATGGTTCTGGAAAATCATGAAAAGAGTCAGGATGCTTTTGATGAAGATGTGATTAATTTTTTGAACATGTTGTTTATGGTACTTATGGAAAAGTCAAAAAGACTTTCAAACAGGAAGAAATACAAAGGGTTATGTCTTAGAAGCAAAACTGGGCTAGACACTTGGGCTCAGAAACAATGTCAATAGATCAGCAATTGAAGTTGTTGGAGCAAAGAAGGAAGGAGCGAAGACAGAGAAGACAAAACCTGTGTTTGAAAATTCAGAAGACAATGAGGAGAAAAGAGATCATTAAAAAAAATCAAGACCAGAGAGATAGCAGGAGAATCAAGGAATGCTCTATAAGAGTACTTCAAGAAGCTCATGGATGGGCTGCCACCTGTGGCGCTGGCATCCCATATGGCCGCTGATTCAAGTCTTGGCTGCTCCTTTTCCAATCCAGCTCTCCACTCAATGTGCCTGGAAAAGCAGTAGAAGATGGCCCACGTGCTTGACCCCCTGCACCCATGTGGGAGATCCAGAAGAAGCTCCCAGCTCCTGGCTTTGGATAGGCCCAGCTCCAGCCATTGCAACCATTTGGGGAGTGAACCAGCGGATGAAAGATCTATCTCTCTCTCTGGAAGTCCGACTTTCAAATAAATATATATATATCTTTAAAAAAATTTTTTAAAAAGCTCATGGAAAAATGGATTTGAAGAATAAGTACATTTTGTGCAAAAAAAATGAAATTATGAAGATCAAAAGAGCCAAACTTCAAGAACTTTGCAAAATTAGTCCATGTTAGAAGGAGTTTGTAATTATAAAAGTCAGTTTCCTCGTTGAAAATATCTACTTGTTTGCCCTTTTATCATTCGTACACTACTGGTTTGCTTAAACAGTTTGCTGGCCAAAAGTTTAAGAAACAAAATTCACTTTTGAAAATTTAGAAATAAATTCAATAAAAGACTTTCAGCCACTATGTAGAACTCTATTAAAGCAGTGATAAGATTGGAATACATATGTCACACATGTATTTGAAAGCTTCTGTTTATGATAAAACATTTTGTTGGAAAGATCATTTAGGCTCTTATGGCTTTGAAGAAAGTATGTTTGCAATTATTCCATTACGTTGCTTAGCTGCAATTTGTCTTCATCCTGAGGGCTGGAAAGAATAATTTTTGAATTAGAACTTATTTAAATTTCAGAGGGTTCTTTGTTAGTAGCTTTCTATCTATTTCTCCAATTTTTAACTTTCATAATGTGAAAAGTTGCCAAATTAAGCTTCCTGCCACCAGAATGTTAATATTCAAAAGAAAATTGGAATGACTTTGAGATGATGTTCCTTCAGATATTGAACAATAGCATTGAAAGACTTTGAAAGACTCCCAGCTGAGCACAAGCAATACAAACTTCAAAAAATACATTAACCAGGAGGATGGGTAGTGGGTGAATGACAAGAAATCAAGAGTGAGACAGCTATCAGTGGAAAATGTCCTTTCAGGGACTCCACTGTGGTGAAACAAGTTTACCACGGTGGTGAAGCAAGTTCAGCTGCCACTGCGGATGTCTGCATCGAACATCCACTTCCTATCCAGCTTCCTGCTGATGCGTGGTGGGAGGCAGCAGGAAGACCTGAATGGAGGCCTCAGCTCTTGACCTCAGCCTGGCCCAACCCTGGCTGTTGTGGGCATTTGAGGAGTGAACCAGCAGACAGATCTCTCCCTTTCCTTTCTCTTTCACCTCTCTGTCACTGTGCCTTTCAGTCTCTCCTATAACTTGTATGAAAAAATAAAAGAACAATTCAGAGCCATTATTCTGCTATAGAGTGGCTTCTCTTTTAATCAAGCTAATTTTAATGAAAAGAATATTTAAATTTAAATAAATTAAATTTAAATAAATATTTAAAACTAGAAGCAGAGCACAATATGGTTAGTGCAAGCATTTTTTAAAATAATAAATTTCCTATCATAGTACAGTTTACTTGCAAATAGAAGTCTATTCAAATTTAGAATACCTAAGCAGGAACTCATCTAGCTATTTGCTTTTGTCTTACAAGTAGTGGCATGGTACACCAACACACACAGATATTTCTTCATCTTTGGTGTTTCATGCATCTCAACCCCACCCAACCTATTGAGCAGTTGATACGAGGTATCATACATATTCCTGTATCTCAAATTGTAACTGGGAATGCATTTTCCATGCAGCAACTATAGATCAAAGGCATTATTAATATTCCTTTCCCTGGGTACTTTGGATTAAAAAAAGATTTCAGGTACTAATTAATACTTGACAATAAAACAGAAATTATGAAATTTTATCTATGGAACAACATAACCTGAATTCAAAATGGTAGAACTACAAGGAATATTCTGAAATACAGTATATCCTTCAACTAAATACTATGAACTGACTTTATAGACATTTGTAGGTGCCTATATGTGTATATGAAAATTGGATAACTGTTTTTACATTAGAAAGTAGTATATATTCTTACATGTTTTCTTGTAGTGTTGAAATGAGTACTTATTAAATAAGTGTATTTCTGAAACTCATATAGTATGGTAGATCTCCTGGAGACCAATACATGTTCTCAAAAACTGGAAAAATTAAGAATATTAGCTTTCAGAAGACTGTAAATCTTAGAAAACAATGGATTAGTTGTAGCAATCAAGGCAAATCTGATCAATGCTCATTTGTTTTATGAACATTGAGACCAAGGAACAGAAGACTAATTTAGTTTTATTTCATATATACAGTAGCCTTAAAAAGATAAAAATAAACTTTTTCAATTGCATAAAGCTGGCTGTATTCTGAAACTTTTACCTCAGTGGCCTCCAATTCTATCTGACCCATACTTTTGTGGAGTTATTGCACTAATTCCTTTGAAGCTTTGTCTACCCCTTTTTATTAAGACATTCCTCTGAGTATACATAGCACTGGTAAATTTCATAAGTGAAAGCTCAGAGAAATAAGAACCAGGCTCCTATATTAGTGTTCTTGACATTGTAAATGATTCTGTGATGTGAGACCATTTCTCATGGAACACAAGATAGCATTTCATTAAGCAGATTTTATAAATGCTAGGATCACATTGAAAATGTGATAAAGATATAATTCTTTCTACACAACAGAACCAAACCACTTTTGGTGACCAGCAGAGATTTAACTATAAACATTTTAATGGCTTCCTGTTATTATTTACTATGCTGGCATGTAAGACAAGCAACAGAGTGATACTGATCGCAGGCTAGTAATAGAACACAGCTTAAGCAGGTAGCTGCCTCAATCATGCTATTTTCTTGATAGGGAGAGATGGAATTCATTTGTAAGGATTTTCTCAAACCACATAAATCATACTTCCTACAACCACATGCCCCTTAAAGACACACACACACACACACACACACTCACACCAAGGATTTTCCTAAGAGTGGTGTGCTTAAAATGAATTACAATTTAAAGCTACATTATGTAATCTCTACATTTATTTCATGTTTCAACCATGCCCTCCTGGTCTGTGTTCCAAAGCAGAAGTACAGTTGATGACTATGGAATCCATTAGCCTTTCTGATTCTGTGTGCTTACATTACAGATTAGCTATGGTTCTAACTTCCAGTTTTAATGGAAACTTCTGGTTTGTTCGTGTGTGTGTGTGTGTGTGTGCGTGCGCACGCGTGTATATAGTATTTCAGAGAAAATTGCACTAGTTCTTATTTAGGCTAACTAAAAACAGTGGAGCTTTTCCATTTGTTCATTGTCCTTTCTGTTTTCCCATATCACAGTTGTTCTGCACCACTCTAGGCCTTCCCTTTTCCCCAGGCCCCTTTGCTACCTACCATACCTCCAAATGTAATGTATCCACCATTACAAATTTAAGAAAGTTACTGCTGTCTTACTCAGTCTCTCCTCTAACTTGTATGAAAAAATAAAGGAACAATTCAGAGCCATTATTCTACTATAGAGTGGCTTCTCTTTTAATCAAGCTAATTTTAATGAAAAGAATATTTATGACCAATAACCATAAAACCGAGTTTTCAAACCTCACTTTCATTTCCCTAAATTATGTGCATTCAATAATTAAAAGGAATACATGCTGGCCATTTACACTCTTTTCACAGTTGCCTATCCAAAAAGAGTTTGAAAGTTGATTCATGGGACTTCGATGGATAAGAATATAGTAAATTTATAAGCAATATACTGTAATTTGTCTTGTATTCCTTTAAGTTCTCATCTCCACAGAGAGTTGTGATATGACTTAAATGCACATTCCCAAGCAGACTTTCCCTATCATTTCCTGATCACCAAAGATGAAAGCCCCATTTTACACCAGTTAGTTTGCCCACCCTGTGCAGTAAATCCATGGTAAGTCTAACAAATCACCTGCTTTGAAACATAGACATGCTTCTTTCTGCAAAATTAAACACATCTATCATCATATTTTTAAATCAAGAAATTCTCCTCCTCCAGCACTGTGGCGCATCAGGTTAAAGCCCTGGCCTGCAGCACCAGCAACCCATGTGCGAGCTGGTTCTGGTCCCAGCTGCTCCTCTTCCCATCCAGCTCCGGGCTAATGTGTCTGGGAAAGCAGCAGGGGATGGCCCTGCAGTCACGTGGGAGACCTAAAAGAAGCTCCTGGCTCCTGGCTTTGGATAGGCTCAGCTCCAGCCATTGCTGCCATTTGGGGAGTTAACCAAAGGATTGGAGACCTCTCTCTCCCTCTCTGTCTCTCTCTCTCTCTAATTCTCTTTCAAATAAATAAAATAAATATTTTATAAAAAAAGAAATGATCCTCCTGTAAATGTAAGCTCCTCTCTATCATTTGTGCATTTCACTTTAGATCTTATCTTCCACATGGAGAATAAAGAGTAAAAGTTCTCTCCCGTCCATCACAACCAAATGCATTGGTCAGACATAGCATGGGATTTGGTCAGAAGAGTGGGAGGGCGGATTGGACATGAAATATTAATGGTGAAATATTCATGCTTTTGCGTTAAGAGGAAGAGTAAACTACAGGGAGAGGCTAATGAAAAACAATAGTTTAAAAACTGAAAGCCAGCTGATCCCATTTTGCAGCCTCATGCATTTGCTACAACCTCTATAGAGCAGAGCCAGGGTTTTGGCTACTTGCTGAAGAAGAAACTCTCATAGGTGGAGTACGTTGGAAGTGAGTTGTGGGGGAGGGATTGAAGGGGAACTATGGATGGGAAAAATACAGCTGTCAATAATAATATAACATTGAAAAATAAATATGTGAGCTCAATGATGTAGATTGTGAAAATCATGTTATGATTTGATGTGCTTCACAAGAGCATGAATCTCAAACATTTTTCAGTTGGATTTTCAACCACTTTAAATTCTAGACCTTTTTTCTCACAAAACAAATTTTACTCAGAAGTATAAAAAGTAGGAGCAATCACAGATGAGGCTGCCTTAACCTAGCTAACCCCAACTGTGTCTGTATCAGTCCTCACAGTCTTGCTCGGATGCCTGTTTTCCTACGACCTTGGTATCACTTCTTCCAAGATTCAGAGTAAAAACACAGCCAAGTCCTAGTTGCGAAATATTGCTTCAAAAAGCAGAATATTAATTGTACCATCTGAAAACCTACATGATCATGTCCATCAAATCTATGCTTTCTATTTCAAGTATACCCCCACAACTAACTGGACCTCAGTGCTTTTGCCACACCAAGATTCAGGAACAAACACTCAGAAATTCAGAATAGTTAACTAATTTGTACAGAATTAATTCAGGGGCCAGCACTGTGACGTAGTGGGCTAAGCCACCACCTGCAGCACCAGCATCCCATAACGGGAGTCAGTTTGTGTCCTGGCTGCTCCACTTCCTATCCAGCTCTCTGCTCTGGACTGCAATAGCAGTGCAAGATGGCCCAGGTGCTTGGGCCCCTGTGTCCATGTGGGAGACCCAGTAGAAGCTCCTGGTTCCTGGCTTTGGATTGGCTCAGTTCTAGCCATTGCAGCCATTTGGGGAGTGACCCAGTGGAGAGGAGACTTTTCTCTCTGTCTCTCCCTCTCACTGTCTGTAACTCTACCTCTCAAATAAATAAATAAAATCTTAAAAAAAAGAATTAGTTCAGTATTTTTTAAAAAAAAATTCTTTAATATTTATTTAGAGGAGAAGCTTTGAGTTGCATGGAGA